TATCACCGATATAACCGATATATCGAATATCGGTCCTGACCGATATTTCGTATTCTGACCGATATAACAGCATAGCCCCTAAGTAAATCACCTATTAAAAAGACTTCCTTTGTCCAAAAAAATGCAACGTTTGACTTGACACATAGTTCAATAAATGTCCCTTCGAGTAATAACCATTAAGAATACAAGTGGCCAACTACAGAAGGGGCATTTCTCATTGGCCTAAAAGGAGCATTGCTGGTCAACCTACTCAAGTATGTACTTACACATCAATTCTCTATTAGTGTTCTAGTTCCTTAAATACGTAAGTTGATATGCATTTTAATATAGGTCAATAGAGCCTGAAAGCACAAATCTAGGAAGACATAGTAGTTATGATGCAAAACTTCAGAAATAACTTTTGCTAACCTTGCTGCTGTTATCTCTAGCCAAACTGTTAGGCAGCATAACGAAGACACATCTGGAAAACAAGAAGCAACCATTGCTAAAACTGACCAGCACAAATCCTTCGCTTTTAACAAGAGGGCCTCTCCAGGATTTTTCTGCTTCTCACAATCAGCTATTATACCAAAGAGTTCAACAGGGATGTAGTTGTTATCTTCCAAGAAGGAAGATTTATTCTTTTTATTCGTGCTATTGAAGTTTGTGGAAGAAGGAACATTTTTCCTTGACTGCATTCCTTTGAGAACCGTTGAAATATGAACCTTTAGACAAGGATCGCTGAACTCCTTTGAAGCCTGAAGATCAAAGGAATGACAATTGGATTCATTATGTTAGCCTATAATGACAAAAACAACAAACCACTATAGCCATAGTAGTCGTAACCATAAACAGATAGCTTGTAGCTGAAAGTGAGACACAAACTTGCAAAGAAAAAAAAAGCAAGCAACACTAGAAAAAAGGGACAAGCAGCCTACCACTTGGATCACCGTATCAAGAGGATGCCCTTCAACCTGAGACTCTGAAAGAAATCCAACCTAATAAACAAAAATGCCAGTTTATTATTTTTGGAGACAAAGAGGTTAGATTATATTTAAAACATATTAACATGGATATTAACGTACCCAGTCATTGTCTTTAGCTAATACAGCCAGATACTTGGTGCTCATGGGTATCTGATGCATTCTACAGAACTCTGTAACCAAACTCCAGTGCTGACTTGCAGCTTTCTGCTGTGATCTCAACTCTGCTCCATCACCATTTCCACTCATTAGCCAAGATCCACATGTTTCTCCACTAACCAGTGACGGGAGACTTGCCTTCTCCAAATTCTGAAGGACAAGTACAAGTGCTCGAGCGGCTTGTTTAGCATTACTGGTGATCTGTTTATCTTTTTCTTTCACAATGCCAGTGTGATAGTTTTTCAAATAGTACTCCGCCAATGCTCGAGCCAAAGAGCTAGTAATATCACCTTCAAGGGGTGTTGGAAGAAATATAGAGCCCTTAAATGAAGGTTGCACGGAATTGTCAGTGTACTCAACAGATTTAAAGAAAGAAGATATCCGCCTCAGAGCAGCAATGTCCACTTGAAGCATACTGGGAGATAATCCACAGAGCTCCAAAAGAAAAGCACAGGAAGCAACCAACACAGAATCTTCAAAATGCATGACTGCAAGGGGCATGACCTGCATGCAAACACAAAAAAGTGTCTTTCATCATAGATTACCAGTACGTTGATAAGCAAACAGACTTCCCTTCCGAACCCCTACAGCTCTATTAAGTATGGCTACTTATGCTTGTACACTGCAAATATTTTGATCCACAAAAAAAACTTCTATCATTTGCACCACACACACAAGCATGTGAACCACCAAAACTCCAACATACTAAGGTTCTTAAAGTCTAAAGATTATGTCCCCTTGTTGAATCCCCCTTGTTTCCACACTCTCAAACATAAATCAAGCACTAGAAAACAAGGTCTTCCGATCTCAGCGTAACACATTCCTTGATAAAGTCCAGGTGTACTAATCACACACTACACAACATATATCCAAATTAAGATAATAGAAACTTCATTGGGACATTACAAGGACATGCTCTAGTATCTATCAATTTACTGCGAACACACATAAATGCAGCGTTACCAATACTCAGTAAGTGCCACTAACTATCCCCTAAAAGTAAAACACCAAGGCACTAAAACGTAACAATTTACTTACAGGTCAAAAGAGCAGATGGGAATATTATGTTTCAATACGATTTTGATCAGGTCAAAAATTACATTAAACAAAAACAAGCACCACAAGATCATGCAATTTAATTTAGCAAGAATAAGGCACTTAGAGCATTGATCTCACAGATGAAAGAAGAGACTCTTCCTCTTGCGTTATTGGAGAAAGTAGAGTATGAACATCAGATTGAATATTTGATTGCCCATTTACTGAGGTATCTGAATGCACTCTGCGTGTCTCAAATTCCAATTTTAACCTTTTCACTCTTAAAGATAAGAGATGTATAAAAGCTGCCAAGGCACGTCCACGGTGCAGGTGATGCTCAAGCCCAAGTCTAGATCCCTGAAACCAATTAAAAAGCATAAATATGAGAAACTGTTTGTGAATACGCGGGTAAACTGTCCCAAGCCATAGCAGATGGCTAGCACTATTTGCAACATATTTTCTCTGTTCCGTTTTGCAGCGTCGCTTTTTGGAGCGCATGTCCACAAACACTGTTTATTATTTTGTATAATATATAATCAGATAGTTATAATTATAAATTTTGAAAATGTTTACAAGCTTCTTGGTCCTTAAAACAGTTCAATATTTTATTTAAATATATAGTTGGAAACATAAAATATATACATGTAGGAGTTATTTTCAGAAAAGTTTACAGAATGGACAGAAGAGAGCACAAAGATGCATGGTGTTCCAACTCATGGAGTGGTTAAGTTCTTCTGGTAGAGGGGCCATGAAAGTTGTGTTGGCTGAGGCTCAACTCCTACCAGGCCATATAAGCTCACACACCGGCTCGCTTCATATAAGCTTGGTTTATATGGACTATTATATGCTCAAATATAATAGTTCTTACAAGCATAAGCAAATTTCATCTTTTTCTAACACCGCAAAGAGATATGTATTACCATCCTAGTTCAAATTTTTTGGATAAGTGATATACATGTGAAAGACGAGAGAAACAATGACTATAGTTGCTTAAGTTGTTGAGACATAAAATTCAAAATCACAGTTATCATATCTAGTCCAAAACAAACTTAGAAAGGAAAAAAGACACTGAGATTGGAGACTCAAATCTAGTTGAAAAAAGTTGGAGCATCCAGACATGCACATAATATAATTAAGGGGAACTAAAGCAAAAAAATGGCAAGCTGTCTAGTTACTGATCTCCTCAAGAGCCAATTGACATGGTGCATCAAAATTGAGGTTTCTATAACTAGGATCACTGACCTCTGCTGAAGGCCCATACAACTCCTCTACATGCCTCTGGATAGCAGCTTCCCAGGACAATGTACTGATCTTGGCTTGCTCATTACCGTCATCTAAATAATCAACATCTCTAAGAAGAAAAGATTCTTCGACAGGCAACCCTGGTACAGATTGCCAACCAAGAGGACCCTGCAGTGAATGCAAGAGAACTTACTGTAATCATCTATGTTTTTATTTTATTTTCCTGGTCTAAAAACATTCCATCCAAAATAAATGGAACATTTGACAGGAAATTACTTTATGAATGTGTTTGACTATTAGCCAACTATCTAACACATACAGGAATCTTGTTGGCAAAAAATTATGTTATGAATACTTTGTGATGTTACTAGTGTGCAAGTAGGTAATTTTTCACTTGAAACTTTGTTAAAAAGAATGATGCATTTATTCTGGGACATCCCAAAAAGGAAACTCTTTCATTTATTTTGGGATGAAAGGAGTAATAATAATTGGCAAAACACATCATGTTCAGAAGTTGAAAGGTGAATTAAGTGCCCATCACACTAAAAACCTGCACATAAAGCTGAACCAGTCTCCGGACAGCCTTAGAGAACCATCCTGGGAGCATTTGTTCAAGCGAAGTATCATGTCCAGCAGAGTAAAAGATGTTGTCACGCCAGTTCAGATAATCTGATAAATTAGAATTTCTGAACGCTGCATTTACAGATAACTGGGTCAGAAAAAATACGGTTCAGCCAGAGAAACTGTTTCATGAAAAAATAGAAGAAGAAAAAATGCCTTTTGATCTGGAGCTAAAATAGTTGCAAGTTGGATCTTGTCCAAAACATGCTGCTACTAGAGTGCGCCATAGTGTAGGAAACCGTTGCATGGCTGGCCTTAGATTTTCTAATGTACACTGAGCTGAGGAGCTGCGGTTCCGATTTACACTACCAGTGCTCAAGCAATCCTGAATAGGAACTGGTGCATACATTAACGTGGCTATAGCTGCCAGTTCTCCTGCTCCTTCAGCAATGTCATCCACTGTATGAATGATATCATCAATTTCCAGTGCACCTAGGCTATTGTCATGCGAAAAATTACGTGATGCAATTGAGCGAGCATTTGAGAATGATGCCTCATACTCGTTCCCTTTAACCCTTGATAGTAGCAACCATTTTGCCCAGTGACAATCTCCCTGGGTAGAAGCATAAACATAAACGGTGTGAGAATATAGATAGATGCAGCTCAATTAAGCCTTTCGCCCAAACTTAATGAAGAATGAAATTGAGCACAGTAACTGTGTAATGATAAGATCACAAAATAACGTTGATTAAAATACATAAATAAAGAAAAGCATATCTGAAAGAAGCAATTAGACCTCTATCTGCAGACTTCAACAAGAGAGTTGATTCAGTCTTCTATATGAGACCACATTCTCTGCTGTATAGTGTTAGGTCAAGTACTAGGCTTCTACCCTTATCCACTTGAATTTTATCTGCCCTGCCCCATGATCTACACTAAATACAAGTGACTTTCAATTATAAGGGGACACAGAGACTAAGACGGCCGTGGCAACAGGATTTATGTTAAACATCCAAGCATTGAATAAGCCAATAAATTAAAATGGTCGAGATGAATGCTTTCTATTACCAAAAGAACAGCAACATTCATATATGGTCCATGCAGAATGTTTAGCTACCATGTCAGATGTCTGTTAATTGGACCAGTTTTATTGGTCTGGGGGATCTTGCATATTCTCATTTCATTACACAATTAGCAGGCTAAATAATACAACATTTACGGGATACGACAAAATCATATTTTATATATCCCCCCCCAACAGTATCAGTTTAAGAGTAAGATACGTCTGAAGACTTCGAATCAGGAATAGCAAAACTTGCTCCTAATATATCAAGTAGCCTATGATATCTGTCAGATAAATTGCTTTTAGATTTAACTAGATTTGAATAGCTTCAGACGAAATATATGCAGGAGTAGCGCCAAGCAAGCCATAATGGCACCAAAGAGTTCCACCATCGCTTTGGATGTAGCTAACTATTAGGTCCTGTTTGGTTTGCAGAATTGGATTGGAATTGGAGGGATTTGGAATTGAATTCCATTCCAATCCCGTGTTTGGTTTGAAGGATTTCCTGGATTTGAAATCCTTGGATTTTACTGAAATACCACAAATATAGGATTTTGAAATCATAAGGGGAAGGTTGGTATTTCACGAGATTTTGTAGGATTTGTATGTAATAAGTTCTATAGTAAAAACATTTGTTTTGTAATAACCAATTCATAAAAAGGTAATTAAATTATTTTTATTGATTATTTATGATTTGTTTTTGTAAATTATTCATAAAGAAGGGAATTCAATTCCATTCTAAATCCTACAAACCAAACACATCAAAGATTCCATAACCTTTCAAATCCAAATTCCTCCAATTCCAAATCCTGTAAAACCATTCCATCAAACCAAACACCCTTAGGGTATCTAAACTGGATTAGAACATTAAAGTTCGATGTCAAATGGCTTTTCTAGGCATGTAAAACTATAAATGTAACTTGCATTTTCAATGTTTGAGCTTTAAAATATATTGCTCTCTAGTTTATAGCAGAAACCTTCTATTTAATTAGTGTCGAGATAACATGACAAGGAATTCGATTATTCTTGAGCCCAAAGGTTGACTAAATATATGATTTAAACTTCCCAACAGGAAAGATTTAGATGTCTGCCTAATATCTAAGTAAGCTAATAGATATTAAAGCCAGATCAACTCCTATGTATGCGTGCTAATACAAAACACAATGAGCACAATTGGAAAAGAAGATAAACTGTGAACTTACAGCGGCTTCTAGCAAGGCAGAGAGATCACGATCCATAGCCAACTTATGGTGATCAAGGTAAAGATCAAGTAGGTATGGCAAGTTATGCTGAATACAATGATGCAGAAACAGCTTATGCAGACCCAGGAAAGAACCAGTACTGATGTCTCTATCGATACTCGTGAGACACAGATCTGTTGAATCCTTTGTTGACTGCTCAAGAGAAGATAAATCACTGGAACTGGTGATAATGCCCGACCTTGCCAGAAGGCATACTACTTCCTCAGTGCCCTCCCAGAATTCCTTGAGAAATATAAATTTCTTAGCAAGCCGCGTTTCCACAAGTAATTGTAACCACATGGAGCATGCATTAATGGATGGGAACCGCAATATTCTGATATCTGGCACATCCATACAGACAGCATCCAAGTCTTCTATAGAATATATGTAGTTTCCATAGTCACTAAACTCACTTTTGTATCCAGTAGAAGCACTTGGTAAGCCATCCAAACTGATTCGAAGATTTCCATGTGAAGATGAGTAGGATGGAATTATATCTATGAGCCTGGAAGCTTCCTCCCAGTTACAGTGGCATATGTGGTACTCAAATTGTGACTCCCATGACATATCAAAATCCACAAGAGAAAATCGGTCTAGCACTATCTGCACATTGAAAAACATATAAATTCCTTTAGTTGGATTAATAAATATGGAACACCATGTTAGTACATGACATCAGCCAAAAAACCAAGAAAGAATTGTGCTCGCGAGTTAGAATGGAACAATCCAAAAAAGCTTACCCAATGCTAGATTACTGAATCTACAAGCCTGTTAAATTATGGCTTTCGCAGAACCATGATTTGGAAAAGTAGAAGGCAGAAAATGATTGCACACAGAGTCCAAGCACAACTACCTTTAATTTGTCAAATTTAAGTTAACTATTGCTGCTTTTTTTAGTAACTGTGATATCTTAAACCTTTGGCCCAACTCGTCCACAAGGTCCATGCCAAGCACCTTGCAGGACTTGAACCTAAGACCACTTGCCTTATGAGTCTCAATGAAATATCACTAGATCTCCTCCAGATTTGAACCAAACCAAATTATAGTATAAGAGCATTTGAGTCCCAATGCAAAATAAAGTTACTTCACAACTTAAAATGTGTTTGATTTTGGCTTGCATTCCCTAGTCCAATTCTTTTCTGGCTGATATTCGTAAGAAACACGATAAGATCCTAACAGAAGTGGTGTCTCCATCAGAGCAACTCTTATTTTGGTGCGACTGCAATAAAGTTTTTTTTTTTTTTACTTAAACAGGTAACATGCAAAGTACAAATCCATTATATAGAACTCCAAGTTAGTATTGATGTGCTACCATCACCACTAGGCTGTACTTTTTAGCAAGTTCAGCAAAAGCTCTATAGAAATTTACATAGATCTCATGTTAAGTTGTGCAGGCATATCCTTATTTTTATAGTTCAGTAGTCACAGCATAAGCTTTTCACAAGCAGGTCCTAATATAAGTAAACTTGTTCAATGTCAACAAAGATCATTAAACTATCTATTCATTCAGTACCTCAGTCCATATATAAGTATCTGATAAGTATCAACTTATTTGATGCTTTTACACTTTTTCTTACTTTATTTATCCATTTTATTTTCCCAAAATTCCGCAAATTGAGTCTTTTTGTTTTATTTTTCTATCTTTTTTATATTGGAGCTAAATTGATGTGATAAACATGTTTACTTCTTATGTGCTGATTTTTGGAAAAAGAGCCATGTTAATAGATGTTTGGCTGAAGCATGCTACATCGTGTGCTGCAGGATGATTACAGGGGCGTTTTTGAGAATAATACGGGGAATCTTTTGATATCCAATCCTCCTTTTTGGCAGCCCATCTCCTGCAGCTTTAAAGGTCTTATGGTACAGATTGAAGATCTGATTTTTGACTAATTTTTGGGTAGCATGACATTACCCATTGGACAATGAAAAAAAGTTGGGTAAAGGCTTTATTTTTTGGGTCCTTGTCCTCCCTTCTCCTACTATACAAAGGAGGGGTGCTTGGCATTTGGTAAGCAAGAAATCTAGGAAGCAATTTAGTAAGAAACTTGAAGTAATTTTGTAAGTAACTTTGATGTAAGTTGGAAGTTTTCTTGGGTATGAAAATAGTGCCTGGAAGTATTTTAATTTCTCTTTACATTTAAGTCTCCTTTATAATTCCTCTTTACATTTATTTCTTCTATTATCTTTTCTTCTCTTGTGCACTATTTATTATGCTTATTTATTTATGCAATTAATTTTATTATTTCAAGTATGGTAGGCTAAAAATATAGCTTGGGTGATGTTAAGAGAAACATCGATTCCGTTGTAGAAATATAAATAATAAATCTTTACAACTACGTAATTCAAGTTTTTATTGCAAAAACATCATCCATAGACAAGTTGATCACTTGTTTCAAAGTGTTAAGGTGTGTTGGATTTAGAGATAAACCAACAAGCACACGTCAACTTGAATGATATGGAAGTAGGCTCGAGAGAGCTACTTAGAATCGAGGAGACTCGTTTTCACTCCATTTAGCTTATAAAAAGAATAGTTTGAGCCAATGTCGAGACTCCAGCCTTGCATAGAGATATGAAGGCTTAATCTATGACTGTGTGCCATTCTACATCTCGAGAGAGTACCTTAAAGAAGCTATTAGTTGTAAAGATAGGTTATTTATAAAGCATGCTATAGAACCATGTTGTAGCATGCTGTCTACTTAAAAATCGGTTTAATATCTTAACAAATCCCTACACCCTAAGCTCTCTTTTATTACTTGTTCACAACAGTAGTGTTTAACCAACTCAGCACAAATATTTCTTCGAACTCACCATCTGAAATCATATCTTTATTTAGACTATTAAAACGAACTTTTATTTCTTTTCTCCGTGGACGATATTCGGTATTTTTACCACTTTATTACTTGTAAAAGACAATAGTGGGTTGATAAGTATATACTTGCACTAATCTACATTTGCTAACAGTCCGAGAGATTTATTTTATATAATTCTCGTAACAGTATCCATGTTCAATGTCAACTTGCAAGAAGTAGAATGATTTACTATCATACGTCTCTAGAATACCAGTTAGGGTATATAAATTGCTCAGACAGGCTCTAAGAAAATCTTCCCTCACAATTAAAGAAATGCACTTGATCTAAGCTGGATAGAACCTGAAGTTAGTGCATTTTTGTGCACTTTGAAAATTGTTGATAGTTAATCACTTAATCAAAACAACATATTCACCCACAATAGAGTGTACTTTCAAAATGTACATTTAACATTTTGTTTGCTAGTAACACAAAGGTAAAGCAGTGAGCCAAATTAACTACCTTTTCTTTGATAAGCATACCAAGTCAAAACAAGGTTGCTTATGCTGGGAAATAGGGAGCATTACATTTTTATGGGGCTGAATAAACCAAATAACACAGAAAATTAAGTTGAACGTTCTTTACAGAATACATGGAGTTTGGACTCAATCTGCAATTAAGAAATCAGACCCTGATCACTGTTATAATTAGAGTTATGTGCCACTTTTCTTTTCCATCACAGATATGGCCTTAAGGGTGGCAGCCTCCCACATAGATGTCTGTAGTCATCTTCAATTCTGCTTGTTGGAAGGCTTATCCGTGCCCAGGTCAACCCACCCTCAACTGATAATCATGAGAATTAGAACTGGTTGAAGGATTGGCTTTTGTTGTCATAGATTAAAGATCTAACTACAATTCACAAAGGTAGGTCTCGAAGGGCAGACTTCATATTCATGATTTCAGTTGGACCAGGTCCAGAAGTAAGAGACTGGTAGATAGGGATTACATAAAAACTTCATTCGAGGAATGGGCTAGATCGGGACATTTCACAAGAACAATAGCTTAAGGCCCTGCAAACTAGAATTGTCATGTTGAAGTTGGTATATTCATGCAAGCAGAAGAAGATTCAAACCATAAGCAACGATAGAGAATGGCTTATCATACATGGATTACTAGACTTTAATCGTGCCAAGATACTACAAAAGCTCTGCCTAATGATGTTGAATAAAAGATAGGTTTTAGTTTGCAGCTTGGTAAAGGCCACTGTGTTTTCTCCTACCAAATTACTTTTTTAAACCTAAAGTGACCATTAAACCTGTAAGAAGCTGTAAAAGTTCAATCCATGGTAGCATGTTTTAACAATACGATATAAACTTACACGATCAATGGTCCTCTGATCCCAAGCATCAGACCAGACTGCAGCTGCAGCCCAGTAACCAGCATGGGTGTCATCATCATCGACCACCGGAACATCCGAATATTTGCTGACGTATCTCCATAAACCTAATACAACTCCATCAAGTTCACCACACTCAATCATAAGGTCGTTAGATAGTGAATGCAACTGAGGCAGCTTGATTTCTTCTGGCGAATTGACATCCTCAATTCTCATCAACTCCTTTTGCCGGGCACGGAATGTTACGTAAAAACTACTGCAAGGGTACGTCCTCTTTCACAAAACAATCGAGTGCAATATCAGAATCAATTGCAACTACATAAGTTGATACCAATGGTTGCTAGTCATTAAAGAAAAGAAAAACAAAAATGACAGACACATACCTCAATGGATGATATCCCTTCCAATATCTTCAACTCATAGGGTCCAAGATATCCATGAGTTTTCATCACTTCAGTTATTTGCTTTCGAAGAGATCTCCTAACGGTGCCAAAAAGCAGCTGTCTTAGGCAACTTTCCAGGTCCTCTCCGAGCTTTTGCAGTGTGGCTACACCAAGTTCAGTTTCATCCTATTGATCATGATAAGCAAAGAGCATTAGAGTAAAACAATCTAAAATTTAGTACATGACCATTCACAAACTACCATTAGAATGTTTAAAAACAACCACCTTTAGAAACAGATCGTAAGCAATAGCCCTTCCAATATCACGAACTTTCTCGAAAGTATCATGAGGCTCTTTGTTAGCATCCATATGCTCTTGTTGATGTAGATGCAATTTAAGAACAGCTAATGGAAGACGACCAGAAAGTAAGGCATCTTTCACAACATTTTTTTGGTCTAAATTATCTAATTCCCAACGTGCAATCATATCTTTAGGATTTTCAGAAGGAATAGCTCTCCTTCCTAGGAAACTTGTTTCTACTTGAGAAATAGATGCTCCACCAAAGCTCTCCAAATCTGAATAGGATCTAGAGTCAAATGAGTTCATTGACATCAAAGCATGCTTTTCAGCGGTAGCAGATTTCATTCCAGTCGGATATTCCTGCTCATTTGTTGTTTCCAGTGTAGAGGCATATGTGGGAAGCTTTGGATGCTCAGGGTCATCCTGTGATAATTCTGAATCCACAAACTCCAATGGCTTTAAACCATCCCCCTGTGACACAACACATATATAAGACTTCATAACCCAAATAGATGAAAGCCATAAACGCTTGCAGTAAAAAAATTACAATAAAACATACAGATCTTGTAGCAGACTTTTTAAATTTAGTAGCAAGTCGACATTGCATGTTTCGTGTGATCTCCAGCAAGCGAGCCATCTCCTGAAGCCTTCTTAAATTTTCAATTTCACTGTGTTCTTTATCTGCTAAAAGCAATGGGAGAGAAGAATCCGTCATGCCTGTAATACTCCTTGACATGATTCCATTTTGCATATGCTGCAATGATCCATATCCACGTATCATTTTGGTAGAAAAATGGGTGCCCAAAGACAGAAGCCTGAACCACAATTTTAAATAGCATAAGAAAGCACAGCGTAAAAATACGACGCATAAATAGATTAGATGGCACTTCAACCTATCACCAACAAAATGGACATATTAAAAGCGAAGGTGTCTCACAACTGAGCATTCTTTCAGGAGCAGTATGGGTTAAAGCCCAAAGATGGTACAAGAGTTTGGATCCAGAGTAACTTGGGCCTTTATTACTTGCAATTGATTTGCATTAGTGGGACAACCTCATGATCCGACATACGTGACAATTTCATTTACGATCACACTTTAGTGGTGTTTTGAAACTGATATGATTACAATCTTACAAGTATAATCATGATACATTCCCAAAATTTAATTTTGATAGCAACTCCGTGTTGCAATCATACGAGTATAAATATTCACACATATGGCTGATATGAATGGATTTATCAAGGAGAGTTCCATTAAGCATGAACAGCATAGAGAAGTGGAAGCCATCTTCCACCTCTTTTTTCTATCCTATGCATTCTGATGGATAAAGGCTTCAATATATCATGCATAGTTTATATTGGCCACAGACAGCCAGCTATGAAATTTTATGGAACAATCAAATACCAATCAGCACAGAAAAATCATACCTTGACGCAGCAGATACATCATTATCATTTCCACCTTTGTTTAACATTAGATAAACAGCAGCAAAGACCAATCTCAGGACGCCTTCTTCCGCCAAACTCACACCAGCAAGCATCTCTAATGAACTAATTCTCCACAAAAAACACAAGATAATCACGCTTCTATTCAAACATACATCTTATACTGAAAATTGACAATCAAGTTGATAAAAAACTACATCACGGCATAAGAAACAATTTTCTGGCAATAAATACCAAACACTACATTTCTTACGAGTCTCCTGGTTTCTTTTAGAATTGAAGATGAATAGCTGCTTCCATAATGGTAACCAAACTGTAATTATTTCACTTTCAAACAACTTAGATAATGATAACCTATACATATACTACCATCAAGCACATTTTTATGGTCCCATAAACAATATTATCACTCTAAAACATTGTCAGTTTGACCTTGAAAGTCAAACAAAGGAGGTGTTTGATAAGAATAGTTTAAGAGCCGAAATTGAAGATATGGATGATTCAGTTAGTTGTTCGGGTGCTTTGGGACTTGTCAAGAATTTACAAACCATCACAAAAGCAAATGCAAGAAAAAACTTGTTCACGAAAATGATAATGAATCAACAAGAAGATGAGGAAAATGTCTGTCGATATGTTTCCCATAAATATCATGAGGTACTTCAGCTACCAATCCTTTGATGTTTGTTGCAATGTGATTGCACAAATAGCTACTTGAGCTTATTAGGTTTTGTTAGAAGATAGAATTGTGCTCCCTTCATTCCAGAATAAGAGTCCACATCTGATTTTGAAAAATCATAGGAAATTTCTACTTCAAAACCAATATTTGAGTAAAAAGTTGTAAATACCATTGATGTCTACAGTTAGCACCACAATCAGAAAGAAAAAAAATATGGGTTATACAAGCAAAGTCACATAAGTAAATTATATGTTTGCATAATGCATGATGATTGTGGATTTTGTATTACATTTTTTGATATTTTTAAATTGAGTTGTTTTTGCTAGGCACACAAAAATGTTGGAAAACTGACGGATAATTTGCTTAGTGTTGAGACCTTTATGTTATTTTTGGCATGGATAGATCAATTGACAGAGACACCCAAACAACTCATAATCTGATCTTCAACATGAAATATAGAAGAAGAACATCATGACACGCCTACAAATGGAGGTCAAAAGGATTAGACAAGTTGCATATTAATTCACAAATAAGCACCCCTCTCTACTCCTACAGAGGATGGTATTCTAGAATATTCTAGAAGTGCGGTAAAGAAAGCAATAGTTGTGATCCTCTTGTTAACAGCAAGCAAGCAGTTGACAACACTAGTTCTGCTCAATCAACAAAAGCTTCAGTTAAATCCAGGGAAATGAGCGGGAGAGCGAGGAGTTCCATAAAAACCTTCATGTAGAGATGATGAAAGTATTGGTTTGAATAATTGTGGTAAGATCATGCATATGCTTTCAAATAATGAGGGACTTGATGGTCCCCTCTTTACCATTAGCAAGAATGACGAGGGTGGGTGCAGATCAGTTTGATCTATATGTGACAGCTTAGTGAACATCCTTCTTATATTGCTCCTTCTAATGTCAAAGATGGTTACCCCTAGTTTGTGGGGCATGAATAAACAAATACCTTTTGGTGAGCAATTCACGAATTTTACTTCTTTCCGCTTTTCACTTCTTTTCCTCTGATTGTAACTCTATTGATTTTTATTTAGTAAAGTGATGAATGTAGTTATTTAAGTCATATGCTAACAAGTTTCTATTACACATAAGCAGGTAAAATAAGGTTTTGGGTGATATCCATGGGAGGTGAAAAATCAAGTTGAAGTTCATCTTCCATTTATAAGGGTTATGTGTCATTTTATCACATTAAGGGGCTGTTTGGTTGGTTTTCCATTAAGTCCTTTATGGGTAAAGTTGTTTGTGTGGATTAATCTGCCTGTATAGATTACGGAAGTTTTTGTTTGAAGGGATTTTTTCATAGATTGAAGGAACATGTTTTTAAATTGGGAGGGACAGTTTTGGAAAAAAAAACTTGGCTTTCTTCATAAACCTCCCCCTAGAAGCTTACTGGATAAGCCACTTCCTATATCATTAAGCCACTACCAAACAGTCATTTATAGCTGACTGAATAAGCTATGAGTCCCAGTAAGCTCATTAAGCTGCTAACAAACATGCCCTAACTCCAATAAGACTCCATCCATGTATGCGAAATAACCTACTTGAATGATTTGTTTCATCCAACAGCCCAACCAAACACACAATGGTAATTGACCGTTCTTCTACCTTCTTCATTCAATTACCTTTCCCAATTCATTCTTGTCGAGCTATCCAAATGAAACAAGCTTTACAGTTGGTACGAGGAATTCAGATCTAGAACGCAATGAGCCGTTCGGAAGGAATAAAACATGTTTGGTTACATACATGGAATGAAACAAACACTATTACAAGAATCTCATTCCACCAAATCCCTTGTTTTGTATTCGAATGAAGAGATTTTTTCAGTCCAGTCAAAGATGGAATGACAATTACAAAAATACGCAATATTAACACATTTTGCTATATTTTCCTAGATTTCAACAACTCAACTTCGTGGCTGTTTTGTTTGGATCCTCTTGTTCTTGATTTGCCATTCTCCGATGGTGCTTAACTAGTTATTTTGAACCTGTATTCGTTTATTTTAAAAATTGAAGTTGACGATGTTTTCAACAGAGATTTTGGATCATCCTAATACATCACCCTTCAAGAAAAAAACCTACTTCTAGTTTTACAAATTGGATCCTTTGACCACTCAAATTTATCATGATGAATATAAAAATACTTTTCTTAATCTACAATTAAGCTCATACTTATTATTTGAACTTTGAAGTTAACAAAATCAATTTGAAATTGAAAAATAAAATGAGGACCTTCTTGTGTGACAAATAAAGTCACTTATATACCGAAGAACACGAAAGATCTGATTGTTAATATAGCAATTTCCATAATTTATCTCATTTTAATTAATAACAAAAAAACCAAAGCAATCAAAGAATGGTTCATTCAATTGTTAGGACCATTTACTAGGCCATTGCATTGTTAATTCATCACGTTCACCCCAATTAAATGGAGCATAAATTATTTTAACGAGCTGTAAGGTCTTTTCCGAAAAATAAAAACTTGTACAATTTTCATGAAAGAAAGACAATTTAGGTGTATGAAATCAGTATTAGATACATGCTAGACACAAATTTCATGTACCATTCAATACATTAATGTTGTAATTTTAACCAAATTTCAGAAAACTTTGGATATGAAAAAACTCTCTGTACACAGGGGGCGAGGAGAATGAGGTGCATTGGGACTGACTTGCTACCTTTAGTTATTACTTAACTATTGCTTTGTCTTCCCTGATCTGGAGAGATTTTGGTAGTTTTCTATAATATTATTTTCTTATCTTCAATGTTGATCCACTAGTCACAGACTTAGAGAAATATGTGATATTGACGTAAATGAAAGGTTCATACTACCTATTACACTATAGTAGGTAGTGGGTACTGCCATTCTAAATACAAGTAGAATTTGGACTCAAGTACCCGTTAATCAACACTTCTGTAAATGCTTGTACATAATACTTTAGCACGTCTATCAACATACTTCAGGCGAGGAAGTATGGTATACTGCATCTCATGTTGTAATCTTTATATGCTTACGCAAAGAATTTAAAAAGAGAACGATAACAAATAATCTCATGTATCAAAGCTATAATTTCAAATACAGAAATCAATGTCCCTCCCCAATCAAATTCAGCAATGAGTCAATCAAAACCAAAGAAAAACTAGTAACATATGTAAGTGAACGAGAAGAATGTATAAATCTTACATCTCGATTTCCTGAAAGTTCAGGTAATCCAATGCCAGCTGCAAGCGACGAATCCGAGAAACCTTCAGGTCCCATCCTGACAGATATCAACACAGATATGTTAAACTGAAAACTTTAATTTGTCTGTTTTAGAAATCATATGTTTGTGTGCCAGATCTCCAACAGAAGCCAAACATATGGCTAGAAAATCTTTACAAAAAAGAGTACGGACATATTACCATTTGGAATGCAAGCATGGTTTGTTGTCAAAGACCGTGGTCCAAATTGCCAGGATACAATGAGTTTCAAATATATGATGCTATATATTCACACCATTTACCTCTATTATCCAATTTGCAGAGGCCAAATTCTCCTCACATCAAGTAAATGGAATGCAATATAAGTTACATTTCCTCACACCATATAACACAAAATGAAAATGTAGAAATGTTAAATGGCTTAAAAAAATAGCACCTACACTTCTGAACCACCTTGATCTTCCTCCTAAGAATTAATTAAGAAATTCTTGTCTTCAGGGTCTTAAAATAGCCATATTATTCATACCACATAATATCTTTCTGCAAGCTTCCTTTTCATTTTAGACCGTTCACAAGATCATAGCAATCACTTCCTTCTCATTCTGTTCAACTCAAAACTCTTTTAAAAAGATCTCCAGGTAAGGTCTTCAATCAAGGATTAGGTTCTGTATCAGTTAGCTGTCTAAATAGTGGCCAAAATGTTGACACTAATCATGCCCAATTTACGATCAATAAGTAGCTAAGAATAAATTTAATTGTCAATTCTTAGTGCAAGTTCAGCCAGAGAATTCTGCAGCAAGTGACAACTGTTTTGTCCTATCCAAACACCCAACATAAGGAATTCACTTAACGCCCCTAAAGCCAAAAATCATGAAGCAAGCCAAGTATCAACTAACCTTCAAAAAGTTGCAGTAAAGCCAGGTTAATCAAACCATAAAAAAGTAGATATTTGTACGTGTCATGTTAAATATGCGGAAATTTCTTCTCCGTCTTATGTTATTGTTTAGGGTACCTCTAGGGTTTACATCATCTTGTTTCACGACCAACCTATGACATATTCTCAATTTATCTAGTGAATAAAACCATACTTTTGAGATATGACTGATTACATGGTATTAAAGCCATGAGGCTCTAAATACAAACCCTAAATCAACACCCCACCGTTGTTGCTTCGAAAAGTTTGAGCAAAAACCACAGGGCCATAGAGAACAGGGGACTCTTAATAGCACACACTGGTTCAATAAACTTGGAAACTTTCCTTCACCTATTCCTTTACATGTCTATCGATATTCTCCACTGATCCTATTTATAAACAGAATTACCAAACAAATGAATTGCTATGATTTGCTTTTGTTTATTTTTTGATTTATACTTGAACCAGAAACAGATGAGTAACACTTTGCAAAAATGACTGGATGTGTGCATTTTCCCGATAAAGGGATTTGATATATATATATATACACACACACACAAGCAATGGAAAGTGTTTCTTTCCGTTTATATTAGCAAATGTGGCTGATTCAATTATGTTGAATCAACACCTTACGAAGATAAATATGAGCATTGCATTTCAAATGCATGATCTTGAAAATTGAAGTCATGTAAACCCCAAATTTGGGACGAATCAACTGTCTGATTCTGTGATGGACAGGTCAGAGGCAGCACAGGTGGGGGCATCTGTTTTCAAATTAATTTCATTTATTCTTTACTCAAGATTTAGTTCAATAAAAAATACAAAAAAACGCATATCAAGCCTTCTTACTTGTACATATATCTAATTAAAAGTTGAGAAAAATAAAACAAGAAATTATTATTTAGTCATAATAAAATGAAAACCAAACATCAAGCAAGAATGCTTATACACAAATTTTGATTATGTTTGAGAAAACTAAGAAAGATAATTGATTAACACTAAATCATGACTAAATAAGGAATTGATTTCAGCCTAATGTAGACTAGATTATATGTGTTGAATAAGACTAGAAATGAATTAGTGGTTGAGCAGGAAGCAAACGGAAGAAAAATGTCTAGTCATGCATCCGCTGGTACCCCTGAACTGTTGAGTTAAACGAGTTTTCTTTTGTGTTGGAGATCTGCTCGAGCTCGAGTAGCTCGTTAAAAGCTTGAATCATTTACACCCCTATACATGACTGCCTTGTTAAGCCCATAAATAGAACTTGAACCCATTCTTGTTACAACACCAGTTCACAAAAACAGTTTAAAGTTCTATTTCTAGGCTTAAAAAGGCATTCATGTATAGGGGTGTAAACGAATTGAGCTTTTAACGAGCTACTCAAGCTTAATAATTCTCAAACTGAGTCTATCTCGAAAACAAAATACGGCTCGTTTAACTTAATGAGTTGAGCTTCATAACACCAATGTTTGACTTGGCTTATCCGAAAACTTGATCAATATCTTAAAGCCAAAGTCAAGTTCAGCAGAGTCATTAGAGCATACACTTTTTCGAGCCAAACATGCTCATATGTGCATAAATCATACAACAAAAATATAAAATTATCAATCTCGAGGCAGTAAACGAGTTAATCACTCATGAGTTTGAAACCATAAACGAGCATTGAGCTCGAGCTCGATAATTTATAAAATATTCGAGTGCAAGCCTATATAATTTAAAAAATCTTGGAGCTCGAACTTAACCCTACTTTGTCAAAAGTTATTCGAGCTCGATCCCGATATTATCTTTTCGAGCCGAGCTGGAATAACTTACTATTTGACTCAGTTTAGTTTGTTTACAGTTTCACCCCAATTCATGTAGCTGCTAACCAGTTTGAACTTATGGTCACGAACCTAAGCCTAGACTGGTAATGGCTTCTACAGATATTGTACCAAGTAAAAGATACCAGATTGCTGAAATGGCCCTAGTCTCTTTTCGACATTTTGTGAAATTAAACGGTTGGCAAGTTTCAGCAATATGAGATTGAGAGTGAAATGTGGCAGCCAAGAAGCAGCATGTCAGAAAAGGATAATATATGAGATGAAATTTTGAATATAGATGCGTGAAAAGACCTAGAAAAGATAATTCCAAAAACAAAAAAAAAGCTTCTAAGCGCTGAAAGTAACCCCATTGTGATCAAAGTACTTTAAATGGTTTAGTCTAACATGGCCTGATAAGTGCATCAACGAGGAAGAACAATATACCAGTGGCAAATACTTAATAAAAGCATTAATGGATAATGAATAAGCAATCAGGACTCATGTCAATTATTCCACAATAAAACTACTTAAGATTTATGAAACAATAAATGCCTGATTTCCATTAATAATAGAATAAACAATAATATAATCTTACCATTTTGCAAGCATAAATGATCTGCCTCTTCATGACCTTCGTATAAAAGAACTCTATCCAAAACCTCTATTTTCCAAGTTGGCCAAGGCTGCTTGAATTTTTTCGTTTCAATGAGGGTTGCAGTTTGATCCATAGTGCTGCTATTAATCTGATGGTATCCAATGGCTTCAACAGGAATGCAACCAGAAGCTACTGAAATGGAGGGGAGAACTACTGAAAGAGCGTCTTCTGTGACCAAATAAAAACATCCATGGAACGTGCAACCAACTGCAACTCCTACAGTAACTTCCTGATCTCCACCATTTGAGTCTTTATCAGCATTCATAGCCGAGTCAACATGCAAGTTGCCGTGGACAATACGGGAAGTCATGTTTTTGGTTGTACCGTCATTTCTACTAAGCCGGGTGATTCCAAATGGGGAAAGGCATATGATATCATCTTTGCTATGTTTATCAGTTGGAAGAAATATACTTCTTAGAGCACCGGATGACAGCTCGGAACTGTGGATCTTATGTCGCACTATCTGTGAAGCAGCAGAGAAACCTGTGATAACTGACTCGTTACCCATCTTTTCTGCACTGCCTTGCAATGTAGGCAAATCTTTACTTCCCATTTTGTCCTTAAAAAAACTTTTCTCCCTTACAAACGTTAGGTTTGGAGAGAGATTATTATATAGCCTCTGGTGGCTAATATCAGCACCACCAACCTCCCAACCAGCCAATGTCCTGTACCTTAATTGTTGAAATTGTGGTAGAGACTTCTCAACGGAGTTATTTACGCCTGAAACATGGTCGCTTGCACGAACTACATAAACTATACCATAATCATCAATTGCAGCTACCAGCGAGGTATGTGAAGCAACAAGAAGTGTCCTAAACACACTTTCACCAACAAAATCTCCGTTTTGATGAGATGATGTAGTATACCTATTTTCACCTTCAAAATTAGCACCTTTGGGAGGTACATCACCTTGGACAAAAGACTTCTCTAATCCCACTGTTTTCAATCTAGGATGAAATCCATGTATTTCTAAAAGATTTACACATCCTACATATTCACCATTTATATTACCAAAAAAATTTATTAGGCCAGCAGAATTAAGGCATATAAGATATTTATCAGAAAACTTAAAGTCTGTCCATTGATCCACAGGAACCATATTTACAACCTCATCAAGCTTCACTGAGAAGAGCCACTCTATACCCCAGCTGACAATCCTACCAACAAGTACATTTTTTCTCTTCTTCCTTTCAGATTTATCATTGGTGTTGGCAGGAAAAAAATCCTCTAACGTCAAGGCAAACCCAATCAGGTCATGTGAATTATTAACGAACACTCTACAGCATTCGTATGAAATGTTCATCTCATCCCCTGCAGGATCTAAAGTAGCAGAACTCTCCTTTTGATATAAGTTGGTGTTCCCATTAAATACGAATCTCAGAAGAGTAGAATCATTTTCAAAAATGTTAAAGGAAACAACTGCAGTGGAGGATGGAAAATGTGACTTGTCCGGAAATCTGCTACAAAGGTTGCCTTCGGATTTCACTGTTTTGAGTTTGATAAGAAAGGTTCGCAACCATCTCCTTCCTTCAGCAGCCTCTGACAGGTCATCCCCAGACTCAAAGCAAGTGTTTACGTTTTCACCATCATTATCTGGCTTACTTTGATGGATTGCATCTCTAGAGGACCTCTGCTTGTCTGTGTTATGAGGTGAGGAGGTAGATGGACCCCATTCCACCCATACCCCTTCACTCTTTCCATCCAGCATAGGTTCAATGGATTCCCTGCATTCAGTGGGTTGAAGAAATGCATGGACCGTCAAACCATGATCTCCAACCACGAAGAGAAGTTCTCTAAATAAAGCTCCCTCGTGCTGATTATTTGAATTCTCACATATACCCCAAGCAAGTGAATTAATATTCGAAAGCATGGGATAGCTATTAGATCTTTTTAAATCAGTTTGGATAGAAAATGTATTGTCTGGACCCATATCTGCTGGATCGGAATTGATGCGATCATCGACACTTACACCTGGCTCACTGGTAGCTGCAAACTGTGGCAGAGAAGACTGTAAGAACTCCGGCTTCTGGAGATCTCCAATTCCACAACCATTGTTATTTACAGCTTCACCTGCAGAGAAAAGAGAACATACATCTTCAAATCGACATGAACCAGGTTTAATCATAGAATAGACAATTAAGTTCGGATGTTTACCTTTGCCTACAGGAAGAAGTAGGCCTTTATTGTGATATGAAAGTAATAATACAAGTTCCCTGGTTGGGGAAAGGAAAGCTTCACGGAACTGTGCCAGGTTTACTTGCAACCGAGAAGGTTCCCATTTATGCAATTGCACAATAGCTGGGCCCTCTTCGCCAGAGCTAAACGTCATGTTGCTTCCACTAGAGAAGCAAAGAAGATAACCAGTTAAAAAAAGAAGAGGATATAAATCAGGCTCTGATCTGTTCTTGTACCTCTGAATGTTTACCAACAAGCAAAGAGTCAAGTTGTAGCTGTAACGTAAAAGTGACTTTGGCAAATCAATTCAAGCTTCTTTCGTACAGAAACTTAGCAATATCAAAACAATATAAAGAATTCTATTAAATGGAATTTCTTATAACCTTAGCTACCACAATCTTTGGAATGTTTACTTGCAGCATATCTATCCTTAAGAATCATCTAATAGAGCTAAATTATCTAAACCGTATTTCTACTCCAAGTCCAGCTATACATAGAATGAATTGGAAGGCTTGATTTTGTTTTAAACACAATAAATATTATTAAAGCTGGAAGACTAATACACATTGAAACAGTACGAGACAGAAAAGCCTAATACAACTAACACCCAACCTAATTGTTAAGACTTGATGATTGTAACATAGGACTCTTAATCTACGAGGAGCTGAAAAATAATGATTCGCTGGCAAATCAACATGGCATCAGTGATCTAACCTAGGGTCAATTGGCTGAATCCTACTGTGTTTCATTTGTTACTCCCAGTTGGTACTTTTATATACTAACTATTTTATCTACCTAATTCATCCTAAACAGGAAAGCAGGGATCAGTAGTGAAGAGAAGGTAAAGATCGGTTATGACATTGGACCTGCTATCAAACAGCATAATCTGTTGAATTGAATGGAGTACGGGTGGGCAAGTATTACTTACCTCGTGTCTGGAGATGCTTGCTGACACCAATGACATTGCACCCAATGTTTAATGTTATACGAAAATACCCTGAACTAATCTGACTTCGATTCCAAAGTAGTTATCCAAAACTATAGCCTCTTATTACCATTTTGACAAACCAGTCAAATATTATGCTAAACATACTCTTGATATGTCCTTCAAAATCCCATCCACATCTAAGGCAAAAGGACAAGAACATAATTGCAACACTTCGATTCCTATTTAGAACTATCTGGTAAGCATGTTAGTTAATAGAAAGATATGGCTAACATATGATGGGCATTAGGGTTTACCTCTTAAATGTATTGTCTTTGGAAAATGCAAAAAGGGATAAAATTATAATGGTCATGATATGTTGCATGCAATCAAAACTATTAACTTTCCAAAAGCATAAAAACAGAGATGTAATGAACTACAAGAACCAACATATATGCAGCAACACTAAGAGTCAAGTCTATCCTCATTGCAGTCAACATAAACAACTTTAAGAATGAAGAGAAATGTTTATGGCATCTAGAAATAACTTCATATAGACCATGAAGTTACTGGCTGCTGTATTTCACATAATTATACACGAGAACGCAAACAAAATGAAGCACAAATAGAAGTGGTTAAGATCTGGAAAAATATGAGGTTTACTATTTCTGTAAGGATATTATTATTTCTTTATCATTTTCTGTAGATATATCCAACTTATATGATGCATTAAAATACTGTAATCATAAATAGTATCAATGAAACTATCAAATGAACAAACTATAACCTTAAAGGGGTTGTTGACAACAAATCAAATCTACTTTCAGCTTGAAACGACAAAGGATGGTAGGAAAACCAAACATGTTTCTCAATACAGTGTTGGAACATTCATCCATGTGAATGTCATTTATTACCTATTGTCCGTAACCAAATATTTTTGAGCAAATTTAGTTAGTCCCTAACAAGTGGATTAAATATTGGCATAAGTTCAATTTCTTCAATGCGTTTCCATGCAAGATTAAGTGAGATTAAACAATAACAGATAGGCATAGATGCACTGAATCCAACAACATCAACATAACCATAACTAAAAACCACCCGATCAGATTCCAAAGAAGAAGAGTTATGCTTCGACTATGAAGGTCAAACGGGTTACTTCTAGACTCCAAACCCATGGACCATGGGTTTTTGAACTTTCCGAGGGAAAGAAGTGCTAACAACAGAAAAACTTCTTAAAAACCACAGTAAAAGGAACATCATAAACGTTGAAATTTCTCAGATAAGAGACCAAAAATCAATTCAATCGTTCATTGGAAAATCCTAGGTTTCATATATAGTATCGAATTGTAACTCGTTTTGTGACCAGATGGATTAAATAGGTACTATTCACCTCACAAATGAATATGAACGACGAGTTTCATCATGATTTAGAAAAAACAAAAAAAAATCAAGAAAAGCTAACCGTTCGTTCGAAGATGACAACAAGAAATCTCGTAGTCGCCAAGTGATAAGGCGAAATAGCTATCTGAGTAGTCTTGAATGTTGAATCGACGAAGATCCTCAATCGAACCGAGGTTGATTCTGAAATCGAGAGCATGAATAGAGAGATAGATGATGATGATGACGACGACGATGGAGACGAAACTCGAGACTGGACTCTGGAGAGTTGCAGAGCTACACGAATTTTGCTTTGACGTCGATTCCATTTCATATTGGGGAAAAATTGAAATGTCAGAATATTCATTTTTCACCCAATTTTTTAAGGAAAAAAATAAGTTTGTTGTCAAAATTTAAAAATGGAAAAAATCATTATAGTATATTGTTAAATTTTTGCTATTTTTAAAAAAATTTATTATTAAAAATATTTTAAATAATTATGATGTTTATTAAATTACGGGTGTAATTAAATTATATATCTTTTTAACATATGAAATAGTAAATTTAGGGGTTGTTTAGTTCAAGTAGGCATGGGAATGGGGCGGAGATTCAATTCCGATGTCGAACCGCAATCTCCGTCTCTGTCGCACTGTTCCTCATCTTTATCCACATCGAGGAATATGATCATATTTCGTCCCCATCTCCAACGGGGTATTGAGGATTTTTTTCTAATTATGTGATATATTTTAAATCAAATATGTTAAACACCAAATCAGATCCAAAATAATTCATGTTTAAATCTTACATGTTTGCACAGTTTTAATTTTATCGAGTATCAAATATTCATATGTTAACAACATCATACGTAACTGTTTGATGCTTTTGGTTCTCCATAATTTTTATGTAAAACAAGTTATAAAAATTGTATATAAGAAGAAAGGTCAAAATACTATTTTTAAATCTAAAAGATATTAAATCTAATTTTTTATAAATAATATATTTAATATGTAGGGACGAGAATTTTTTACGTTCCATCCCCATCAACGGGAATTATTTTTGTCAAACAATGTCTAGACCTACACATGGTAATTCACACTATGATTAATCATTGAATCCATGCATGTACTTCATATGCAAGAGGTTACAAGTCTAAGGTGACGTTTGTTTTTTAATAAGTATTGAAGTATGATTTCACTTATGATTTTTAAGAGGTGGTGCTAAAGCTTGAAATCTGAATCAGTTAGACTGTTTATTTTTACGTATAAAGTCTAAAATCTGAATCAATCATATTGGTTATATCAATGTTCTGTTTCAACATGGATTTGTATTTCTGTCTTTCAAGGTTTTAGTCAAATAACAAAAAATTCAGAGTTTTCCTTATGATGGGTGGAGTTGAAATCATTTGTATTATAGAATCTGAATCTAATCCGTCGATTACAATTTTATCATGAGATTCGTAGAAGAGGAGATTGGGATATCAGCAGGAGATGGTGATCTTCTTCGTCGCCTTCAGATTCTGATTATGTATTGTATTGGTCGTGAGAAGAATCATAGATCATTGTAAGATGGGTCACTGGCGAGAAAGAGTTGATTTAAGAGGTATTAAGTGTTAGATTTATCGCTTAAAAATTCAGAGGAAAGAAACATCATTTAAGATCTTATTTTGAAAAGAAAAAAAAACAATTTGAAAAATGGAAATGTCTAAATGATTCAGACTTAAGAGGTGATTAAGAGGAAATTTCAAAAAAACAAACAGGGCCTAAATCTTATTTCAAACCAAAGTTTAATTTTTCATATTTTAACTCGACTCATAAATTTAGATATTGAAAATATTAACAACAAATTATAGTTAGAAAAATCGAACTCACAATCTCAAATACAATTATAAATATACCTACCACCATTATACCAAGACGAATTTTTGTTAGTTTTTCTTCCATTTTTATTTTATTATTTTTCATCATGATTTATTTTCCTTCTTAGCACTAATTCATCTTAAAACCCTTTTTTTTTAATCTAAATATATGAATTGAGATACACATGACACCAACCTGTTTTCCTGAAATCCGTGAGACAACTTTTTAACACTTGAAATATTCACAGCAAAAAGCTATGAAGGTAACAAAAAATGGAACCTTCACAACAATAACATCGTGAAAGTTACATTCACAACATTTTGCTGTGAAATTTCAAGTATAAAAAAGTAGTATCACGAAAACAAACTAGTCTCACATGATCCCAAATCTTCACATAAATATACTATTTATTGCATATATTTTGGAATATACAGACATTCATTGACACTACAGATGCAAATAATTGAACTATAATTGAGTGGCTTATTTGTTATTTTCTTTTCCTTTTTGTTTTTGCAAATAAAGTACAGTAAAATTGTCGAAGTGTCATCCGCTTGTTCAATTTTCGAGAACAGATAAAACTTGTATAAAGTAACTATAGACAAGTTATATATATATTTTTTGATAAGGAGGAGGGAGATCTCTCCAGATCAAGCAAAAAAACAAAAAACGCAAGACAAATACACATTCGGATGGAAGCAAACCATATCCACCAAAAAAAGTCAAGAAGCCCCGAAAAAGGAGGGGGAAAGAGATAGACAAGTTATTTTTATAACATCATTAAAATAATATTTGTACATTCAACGAAAAGACGACGATAAACCTTATTTGAAAAGAAAAAAAGTTAATAATTCAGCTCAATAACTAAATTGGATGAATAAAGCGGTTCTGGTTTGTTCAGCCGAGTCCATTAGTTTGGCTGAATAGGTTTATAAAATTGTATATTTACACAAACAATTACAATTCCTTTGGAAATTGTGCTCAGTATGATCACTAAACTCTTAAGACTTGAGCCACTCACCCTCCTCACCTAATAGACCGCTATGTACCGCTCCCATGATGTGAGATGCTCTCAGAGTGGCCTGGTGTGGGCCGGCTCACTGGTTACAAACCTTTTTGCACTAACAGTCACTTGGGGGCGTTTGGTTGGTCGGAATCCGCAGGAATCTGAAGGAATTGGAATGGTCAATTCCGTTAACCGAATTCCATTCCAATGTTTGGTTACAAATGGAATGGAATTGAATTCCAAGGATTCCCAACAATCCTGACCTACCCATATGAAACTATATGTTGATGAGGATTTCAGAGCTGACTCGGCAGCTTAGGTTAGTTGAGGGATTCAAACTTGAACCAATTGTTTATTTGAGCAAAATTGTTCTGCCCCTTTACCAACTGATCTACACGCCAGAGGGATCAACGTCAACTAAATTAACCAGCTAAATACGCCGATAAAGGGAAAAAAGAAAAATCAAAACAGGGTAAAGAGACCAGTTGTGAGATTGGATCAATTTTTTGTTAAATAAAACAAAATCCTCAGGAGAATGCAACTGTTTTTGGGACTCCCAAGGTCCAACATCAATCAATGTTACATGAAAAGAATGTGTAACAAACCAAATCAAACATAAATCACCGGTTTTGGAGGACCTCAATTGCCTTTTTCCACTGATATGCTCTCTGTTTTGAATCCTCAAACGACATAACTTTCTTTGGCTGCATCATCACACATAAATAAATTAGAAAACAAAGAAAGAAGCCAACGGAGCGTTTTTGTATCGAATCAAAGGCTGCGACTTAAACCCGAGTAAAAGGAAACAGAAAATGAAGCACTCACGATGCAAATTTTGAAGTTTGTGGGGCTAGTGACCTGGACGCTAAGCTCATTGGGATCATCGGACCAGATCATGTTCCCTTTCATGGCTAGCTTTGAAGGGTCCACGTATATCAAGTTCGGTTTGTTGGTTAGGATCAGTTGTACTTTCTTGCTTGATAGTTTCTGCAGCTTCTTCACCATCGAGATCATAAGAATGGATTCACCTGGCTCCAAAAATTGTTGCCTGTCGACAAGTTAAAAGGTCGGGTCACAGATCATTGCTTCATTTCATGCAAGTCAAACTTGGTATCCAAACAAATTATCGTTCTTGGAAATACTATATTTCCAGATAATCAAAGATCTTGGACGAACTGTAGAAATGCCGTAACAAGAAAATGGCATTTTTGGCCCAAAATTTGATCATTCTTGAAAAGTTTAATGTTTCTATTGCTTTTCACAGCAACCAAGGGACTGTTTGGTTGGTTTTTCATTAAGTCCTGTATGAATAAAGTTGTTTATTTGGATTAATCTGCTTATATAGATTGAGATGGCTTTTGTTTAGGATGGTTTTTTCATAGATGGAAGGAACGCGGTTTTTAATTAAGAGCGGCATGTTTGAAAAAAAAACTTGACTTTCTGCATAAAGCTCCTCCATAGAAGCTTACTGAATAAGCCAATTTCTATATCATTAAGCCACTACCAAACAGTCATTGATAGTTGACCGAATAAGTTGTCTTGTTAAGCTCATTAAGCTGCTAACAAACTGGCCCTAAGGGTTGTGTGCAAAAAAAAGTCACGTTCCAACTGGAGGTGGGGTGAAGGGGGTGGGATGTATGCAGGCGTGACCTCTGTCTCAAAAAGTAGAGCGGTTTTTTCCATGAAGACCCCCTAAGCAAAGGTCAACTATACACTAAAAATTCTGGAATAGTTCAAATTAGATGCGTAAGAATCTCAAGTTTAATAAAAGAATTATTACCATCTTGAGTCGAAAGAGTCTATTGAAGCGAGTTTAGTTATATGGCCTGTGTCGGAGGAAGATGTGACATCCGAAATGGTATTTCCTGCATCACCAATATGCGTCGGGTTCCATGATGAATCTGGAGTGTCATCACCCCCACTCGAGTGACCACTGGTGTGACCCTGTAGAAAGTTGAGATGGTATGTATTATATTTCCTCGATCCCATTAAAAATTGCAACCTTTTCTTATTCAAGATATTCCATAAAAATTGCAAAACCTCCTACCATAGAAGTTTTCCTTCATGTTCAGAAAATATTAATAATTTTCATTGTGGTCCTCAAAATTCATAAGGGTCAGCTCGAATGGACAAATAAATGTTAGGCCCTGGGACTCCTCACACAGTTTGCCGGTTCGAGTCTCCTCAAAGGCACTGAAGATTTTCATGGCTATTATCTTAAGGGTCCCATGGGGTGCACGCAATCTGGGATGGACGCTCACGGTTACAAAAAGAGTATTTTTTTTATTTGTCATTACATAGCCGAAGGTTTCCGTAAAATGATGCAGTGTCTTAAAGTTATCGCTTACTAATAATGATTGGCTTTAAGACAGATACCTTCGTCTCTAATGCAAGCCTGGGAGGGCTCCGTGACCTTATATCACGCCAATCAATTCCTCGGAAGAAAGAATGATTCTTGAGCGAGCCATAACCATCACGTCCTGCACCGGGTCTTTTTGCGGGATCAGTATCCTGCGTCATTTTTTGCAATTCAAGTTACTCTTTTTGGCAAGATCGAAAAAGAACAGTTTTAGCATCTGATGTTCGTGAAAGACAAAAACAATCATGTGCACTTTTATCCAACCTAAAGGCAAGTTAAAAATTAAAAAAGAGACCAAAAGAAACAGAACTCATGCATTCGACAAGTGTATATGTTAGCTTACCAATAATTTATCAATAAGATCTCTGGCATCATCAGAAAAGTAATCTGGAAATCTGACATCTCGGGCTATAATTCGTTGAAAAATGAGCCACTCACTTGCATCTTTGAATGGAGAAGTTCCCGATAGCATCTGAAACAAGGTGCAGCCAAGTGCCCAGAGATCATTTCTGCCCACAATTATTTAGAAAGTGCATAAGAAGGTCATTCTACAATACAAAAACAGTTAAATAATGCATTAAGCATGAATGACATTTCTAACTACCGTATATAGCAAGCAGCTCTTAACTGACCACCATACTTTCTATAATCGAAAAAGATAATAGCAGCAGCAACAATAATATCAAAGTAATAATGTACTCCCTTCGTCCCAAACTACCGTTTACCAAACGCTTACCCGGGTAAGTGCTTACCAAGTCACTTTAATTTACCGGATGAATATGGCAAGGGCTAATAATCTTACCCGGTAAGAGCAAAGGCAAGAATCGAGAGTCTTACCCGGTAAGTGAGGACGAGGACTCTTACCATGGTTAGCACTTACCGGGATAAATTGTTGCATACGATGCGTTTTAGTGAATAAAATCTTGCCCGGTAAGTAAGCGATAGTGTTGAATTTTACCGGTAAGTGCTTACCGGGTAAGTGTTTAGGTAAACGGCCCCTAAGTGGCACATTTCTATTTATGTTTGTCCCAATATAAGTGTCTAGTTTCACAAATAGATAACTAAATTCTCAAATCTACCCTTGATTAATGCATAAATATTTAAGAGTTGGGAAGAGAGATAAATTAATTAAGGGTAAAGTTGTCATTTGGTTAACTAAAAAGTGTAATTATTATGCATGTCTAAAACTGTGTGCCATTTCTATTGTGGACATTTATTTTGGGACAGATTTAGTTTGTTTCAAAGTAAGTGTCTACTTACCAATTCCAGCCTTAATTATGAGATGGAAAAATTCATTACTCCCTCAATTATTAAGGATAACATTGTCAGTTAGTTAATTAAAAAGTGGCATAACTACGTACTTCTAAAACAATATGCCTTTTTCATAGTAGACATCTATTGTGGGACAGAATAATGATGATGATGAAGTAGCAATAGTAAACTGTAGATCAGTAGAAGGCAAAAAATAGCATAATCGGATGTCACTTTGCAAACTATTCATTAGTAGATCTTGTCTACGTGCTTGTTAGTTATTGCTATTCTTAGTAACTATAGCATTTTTGCTATTTGGGCTGAATTCGGTTCACTTTGTCAGTTCTGGTTCATAAATGTGTTAATCTCCGTCAAGTAATAGTCCATTTTTTGATGCATTTTGAAAACTACAGTTTTCCTTCATTTTTTTGTGTGTTACGGAGTATGATGGTTAGAAATGTTGTTAGCTAAAAAAAAAGATGTACGAAGAGAACTATTTATAGCTGAATATTTGAATTTAAACACTCGTTCAATGGGGAAAAGAACAATACTCACCCAATAGTTGCAGGAGAAGAATTTAATACTTCTGGAGGAACGTATGCAGCCGTTCCAACAAACGTGCAGGCCTTGTCATCTGGAGAAGAAGAATACGCCATGATTTAACTCACAGTTATGGGGGTTAAAAACACCTAAAAAACGATTGAGAACACACCTGATGCTGCATTTGGAAGGACCGTTATCCGGCTATCTTGCATGGGCTTTACGCTTCCAAAATCAGCAATTTTAATATGTCCTTCTGACGTAAGAAGCAGGTTCTCTGGCTGTCATCAACATGCTGTCAGCGATAGTTATTGTCGGATATGGAGTCTGATTTGGACTTTAAACCAGTTCACAACTTCACACATCCAACTCTGTGGTGAGTTGGCAAGGGGTGGCACCACCTGCTTGCAAGGTGGGGGTCCAGGGGCATCATCCCCTGGCTAAGAAAAAGGTTACAACAATTATGGGGTTTAGGATGACAGTTTCCATGTCTTACCCTTCGTCTGTTTTCTTCTTATAATTGAGGAAACGTTCCTTCCATATATGCACTAAAGAGTTCACGAAATATAGAAAATACCCTAATGACATCATGGACGTAGGCCAATAGCTAAATCACATAAATAACATGTTCTCTTTTTTATTTAACGCAATCATTATTTTGTGGGCGTGATTATCACCTTAATGTCTCGATGTATCAAACCCAAATTATGTATGTATTCAAGAGCATCTACAACTTCAGCTGCATAAAAGCGAGCTTCATCCTCCGTCAAACGACCTTTCTGTAAAACCAATTCAATAGATATATTAATCATCTTACAACCAAACACGATACAAAACAAAGGAACATAATGACGTTGATGAACTGTGGTCTAATTTAGCATGTATAGTAAAGCAGGGAGTACATTAAAGATTGTGACTTGTGAGTTTATGCTGACTGAATATTATTAGGATCAAAAGAAGAACAAGCCCCTAAAGTTCATCCCGTTATGATGACATAGTTATGTATACGCAACTTCTATACCATTTCCAACCATTTGGCTTGGACAAAACACACTTTTAGTGCATCCAATATTAGTTTGGGTCATGGAAACAGAAAAGTTAATGACCGGACGAATGCTATTGACACTAAATTTAGGTTAGAAAATATTTTATACAGCAATAATGACATATATTCAATTACTAATAATTCACTTACCCTGGTTATTTGATCAAAAAGTTCTCCACCTTCACAAGACTCAAGCGCCATGTCTTCGATGTAAATCAATGCATGCGAATATATGTACATTAATCATCAAAAGACAAAAAATTCGAAACATAAACATATAAACCAAAGAGGATTTAAGGTTATTAGAAAACTTAACGAAATTTAAAACTGTGACATGATGTGCTTACATAGTGAAAAAGTGTCTTGGAATGTAAAATGAAGTTGCACAATTCCAGGATGATCCAGCTGATCCAATACAATCCTCTCTAACTTCACGTAAGCAGTTTTCTTTTCTTTTGTTATGAATTTTTTATCCATGATCTTTAAGGCATACACTTTTCCAGTGTCTTTCTTTCTTGCTCTCACAACCTGACAACAACAAATTTTAAATATAAGCAAGAAGCACGCTGTAATTAATTTCCAAGAAGAAGCAAACAATCATATTTCATATAAGCCGATATATAAGGAGGTTGATTTTGAAGGCAAGGACAAAAACGAAAATTAACAAATTAGGTGAAAAGAATAAACAGAAAGCGAAAGGAACAGAATTAGTTGTGTAATTTGGACTGAAATAACTAACCATTTTATGCACCAAAGAAAACCAGTGAAATCAAATTCCATTTTGTGTTTTCGGAGTATAGCTAATAGTGAATATGTAATAACACATGCTTGAAATACTCCTCTTATATGTCCGTTTCTGCTCCACGTTGCTTGAAGCTTGTTTCTAACTATTTAATCTGTCCCACATTGGCTCGAAGCATTATGTTTCTTTTCTTGATTGATGACAAACAGAACTAGTCTTATTACGCTTCATGCTAGCAGCTTACAGCTCCCTTTGGAGACACCTCAAGGACGCTTAAAATGAGTATTGTATGCATATCAACATATGGTACTTCTTAGTTCATCCACCATATCATGTGTTGATTAACAGCAGTTAAAAGATCTACACTCTGGAATATGGTCAAATGGTACCAGTCACTTTATGCATAATGAACTAGCCATTAGGAATGTAACGCCCCAATTCCTACTTCAGGTGCCGTTACCTTCTTATTGATACTACTAAGTCTTGTATATGAACTTGAAATTTAACTTTATTTATAGAACTTAGCTTTATGATTACAACAGAGTTCAAACACTAGCGGAAACGTAACTCAATAGCTTTATAATACAACAAAATTTTGCTACTGATTAGAACAATACTTCTTCATGCTATCCTTCTTTACTCCTTCCCTAAGATACATACATGAGATACGTAAGCTAAAAGCTTAGTGAGTAGTTATCGTTTCATGAATAAACAATTTTCATGATGCTTAGCATTTTATGAATAGTAATTCACTAAAACTCTTGATTATGCACAAAATAATCGTTTTATCATGCATAAACATTCTTTTGAGATCTCACTTGAAACATGTAAGTATACCATACTTGTCTTGAGGTTTGCTAACCCCCGGGTCTATAAAAGCTGCCCCATAAGGTCCGTTTGCAAGACGTCCCTTCTTGTAATACCCCGTATGTTGGATATTTATGGTCATACATAACATGTAAAAACTTCCATGCCTTTCAAAACATGTCATCATGCATCTCTTGTATAATATTTTCATGTAAAGCAAACATGCCAAAATATCTTGTAATGCATAACATACTTTTATGTAGCATGTATGTACCTCATAAATCTCATCAGTACTCACCTTGATTGTGCCTAGCTTTTCCCTTAATTCCTTTCTTCAAGCTTGATTATGTATAAAGAGAGAGATTTCTTACTTTTAATATGGAGCTAACAGTAACGCTTCAACCCCTATTTATAGGTAAATTCATTGCATTAGCTATTTGTTCTTCTTGCTCCCAATAATTGTACTCTTATGAGAGTCTAACACCTCAATTTTAAGATAAGAGAATCTTGACATATCATGCTTCATGTAAAGGAATCTTGACACGTCATGCTTCATGTAAAGGAATCTTGACACGTCATGCTTCTAGCTTTAGTTTGTCAAGCTTCTAGCTCTTGCTTGTCATCATGATTTTTCGGAACACATGCTTCTAGCCTTGACAACTCATAACTAGCTTGCTTTATCATGCTTAGTAGACTTGCTTAGTCATCAAATAGCTTGCCAACACATACTTCCAGCCCTTACAACTCATCACTTCATGTTTGATTTCTCATGCTTTGCGTTGTAAGCTACTTGTAAGCTACTTGCCTTATAAATATGATGGTTTAATAAATGCTACAGCTGTTGGACTCTTTTAAGAGTACTTAATTACTTATAAGATCTTGTATTTAAGGCTTAAAATTTGAGATTTAGCAAATAAAGAAACTAGAGTGTTACAAGGAACCTGATATTGATTACTAGGCTAAGCCCCCTTTGGTATTGGCTTGGTATTCTAAAGAAGAAAAAAATTAGTTCAGGAAAATTAGTATAGATTGTAACAACTTTGGCGAGGAGTTGTCTGTCAATTTATAATATACAACGAGGCATTGTGTCCTTCCATTAGGGAAACTCAAAAACACCATTAATAGCCTTCACATCCTCATTTCAAATAATAAATCAAGTACAAAAGAAGTCTTCTTCCTCCCAATTCTTCTTACCACCTCCTTTGTATTGATTGAATTGAGTTCTTAGTAAAGTGAAGTAGTTTAAGTGCAAACAGTGCTTCTCTTTGTGATGGCGCATGATAACCTTTCCAAATGAGTCCACTTGCAACACGAGGAAACATCGTCTAGCTTCCAAAGTGTCTTGCCAAGTTGCCAAACAAATCATTCTTCTCCTTTCCCATATGCTCGAACCTGCTTTAGTGTTTATCTTGTGGATGTTCTCAAAACTTCTCGTCTCCTATTTCCTATGGTCTTGATTGAGGAAGTAGAGTACCGGGAGGAGTCGGTAGATGGGCACTGGATCCCTTCGGACCTGGAGGGGGCCGTTTACCAAACGCTTACCCGGGTAAGCGGTTACCGGTAAAATTCAACACTATCACTTACTTACCGAGTAAGATTTTAGTCCAACAAAACGGTATCATATGCAACAATTTACCCAGTAAGCGCTAACTGTGGTAAGAGTCGTCGCCCTCACGTACCGGGTAAGACTCTCGGTCCTTGCCTTCGCTTTTACCGGGTAAGATTCTTGGTCCTTGTCATATTCATCCGATAAGGTTATATGACTTGGTAAGCGCTTACCTGGGTAAGCATTTGGTAAACGGCTCAGTTTACAGCGTTGTAGTCTTGTATATAGTCAATTGTGGAGATTAAGTTTTAGAGATTTAGTTTTTCAAAATAGAGATACGAAAGCTCTTGAAAATAGTAAATCCTAGTTGATGCCACCAACTCGTCAGCTTCATGCTTGCACTCTCAAGCTACAACTGGATTCACATGTATGAGCTTAATAATTCAGCTATTTGTTTGAGATCATGTTTGTAATGTCATAGCTTGTAGTGTTTCCCCCAATTATATTCATTTTGACTATTCCAAAAGAAATTCTTGACCTTTCACAGTTTCTTCTGTTTCATAATCCTATCTATGATATTAAAGAATGTCAAAAGTGAAGTCAGATCCTGCAAGAAATGGTTACAAACCTTCTCTCTTAGTCTCACAACTTTGCATTAACAACATAGTAAATTAAATCCCCCATTTATCATCTCTTTCTTTAAGTAGACACTATCACACAACATTGTGTTCCATCCTTCTTAGAAATATTTCAGATGTTATGGGTGACCAAATGCCAATATCTAATCCTTGTTTTGCATTTAGATTCTTGCATTAATAGCATGAGCATTTTTTCGATCTTTAATCCTACAAGTTTGATGAACTATATAGTCTTCGCACTTGGGGATGAAATTTTTGCCGCCCACCAGCTATGTACCTTTGGTCATCCACAAAGCAATACACAAGTGTGATATTCAAACTCAATTATCTAGGTTATAGGAGCAAGTCCCGATGGGAATCTGATGAAGACTCAAATTGATTTGAGGATGAAATACGAAACTAGGGAAATAATTGCTTGATTGAATTGAACTAATGAAAGGAATGACAAAGAACAACCAGGGAATCTCCCTCTCTCAGAGCAAAATTGCTAAGAGCCATTACAATGAAAAGATATATCTCGACACACCACAAACACTCTCCTCCCTTTTTATTTCCCCTCTCTCTCTCCCCTCTAACTGCTTTTATTTAGCCACTTTCCTGATTTGCCCCTTTTATTCTTCTAGAATAAACTTTTAGCACTTTTGGTTTAGGCATATTTTGGACAAGCAATTTTGAATTCGTATCATTACTCCCGCCATCCAAAAAAGTCTTGTCCTCAAGACTTGCTTCTGGAAATTGGCTCTGAATTGTTACAACATCTTCCCAAGTGGCCTCTTCACTCGTACTCCCTTCCCATTGAACCAACCATTGCCACACCTGCTCATTATGATTATTAACCACCCGGGTAGCAAGAATAGCGACTGGAAACACCATATCAGTTGAATTTAACTCTAGCTCAGGTGGCAAAACTTGTTCGGTGGAGGACCTCACCGCTTTTTTTAACAATGGGACATGGAATATCGGATGCACTTTGGATGATGGGGGAAGGTCTAACTTATAAGCAACCAGTCCAATTTTATCCAACACCTTAAAAGGACCAAAGAAACGAGCAGTCAATTTTTTATGAATCCGCTGGGCTACGGTCATCTGTCTAGAGGGTTTAATTCCACATAAACCCATTCGCCAATCTGAAAGTTAACATCTCTTCGCTTTTTATCCGTTTGCTCTTCATTGCACTTTGTGCTCGTAATAAATGGACCTTGAGTTGTCACAAAGCTTCATCACGGTCTTACAGTTCTTGCACCACTGCTTGCACAGTTGCACTTGAACCTCACCCGGAACAAACTGAATAATTGTAGGAGGTTTGCGACCATAGACTACTTCAAAGGGAGACTTTCCAGTAGATCCGTGAAACGTTGAATTATACCAAAACTCAACCCATGGTAACCGCAAAGACGAAGAACGAGGTTGATCCACTGCGAAGCACCGTAAATAAGTCTCCAAACAACGATTAATAACTTCTGTTTGGCCATCGACTCCGGATGATAGGATGAACTCACATGTGGTTGAGTCCCTTGAGAACGAAATATCTCTTCCCAAAAACGACTAAGGAATAAAGGATCTCTGTCACTAGCAATAGATTTTGGTATTCCATGGTGGCAAATCACCTCATGGACAAAAATTTCAGCCACCAATTTAGCCGTATAGGATGTTTAAGCAAGATGAAGTGACTATACTTAGAAAGTCTGTCCACCACCACTAATGTGGCGTCAAACCCTCTCGACTTTGGTAAGCCCAGGATGTAATCCATAGAAAGATGTTCCCAAATGGCATCAGGAATATCCAATGATTGTAAGAGACCCCTGGGAGAAACCGAACTAGCTTTGCAAAGTTGGCACACGTCACAAGCTTTAACTGCCAATCGGCGATAAGTTCGATAGTACCCCAAATGACCTCCCGAAGCGGATTGATGAAACTCCTTCAACAATACTGGAATAAATTGAGTTTTTCGGAATAACTAACCGATCCTTATAATAAAGGACACTGTGACGAACAACATAACAGGGGTGAAGAGCTTGATTATCCAAACATTCCTTAGTTAACTTTTGGATTTCCACATCAGAATGAATTTCCTCTAAGAGTTGGGCTCCCTAAAGCCAAATTGGTTCCGAAATGGCTGATGTGAATTCTCCATCTTCGGCCCGACAAGATAAAGCATCAGCTCCCCGATTCTCGCGTCTGGGTTTATAGCAAATGTCAAAGTTGTACCCCAATAATTTCGCCACCCTATTTTGTTGATCCGGTGTAGTAATACGTTGTTGTAACAAGAATTTTAGGCTTTTCTGGTTGGTGTAAACGATAAATCTAGTGCCCAACAAATAAGAACGCCAATGTTGTACCGAGAGCACCAACGCCATGATTTCTCTCTCATATGCCGAGTTTCGCTCACCAAGAGCTTTACTAAAATACGCAATTGGACGGTTATGTTGCATCAAAACAGCCCCTATGCCACGACCAGATGCATCACATTCGACCACAAAAGGAATTTGAAAATCCGGTATGCTAAGAGAGGAGCGGTAACCATGACTTCTTTCAAAACTTTAAAAGCATGTTGAGCTTCAGAATTCCAATGAAAAACATCTTTTTTTGTCAAGTCCGTAAGTGGTTTGGCGATACTCCCATGATGCCTGATGAAATTCCGATAATATCCGGTAAGACCCAAAAATCCCCTTAAACCTTTAATCTGTTTCGGAACTGGCCACGCCAAAACAACCTCGATTTTCTTAGGATCCATGGCTACCCCATCACCATTAATAATATGACCCCAAGTAATCAACGGAAACTTGGCCAGATGAACACTTTTTGCGGTTAACAACAAAATGGTTTTTCAAAAGGACATCCAAAGCACTCTCCAAATCCTTCACATGTTCAGACCAAGAAGGACAATAAATCAATATATCATCAAGGAAAACCACCACATTTTTGCGTAGAAAAGGGCGAAACACATAATTCATCACTGCTTGAAAGGTCGCCGGAGCATTGGTAAGGCCAAAAGACATTACCAGATACTCATAATGTCCGTCATGCGTTCGAAACGCAGTGTTCTCAATGTTATCCGGTTGCATTCTAATTTAATTATAGCCAGACTTTAAATCCAATTTAGAGAAAAAACGAGCACCGTGTAACTCATCAATGAGTTCCTCCACCATTGGAATCGGAAATTTATCCGGTACCGTGGCCTTATTAAGGGTTCTATAATCCACGCACATACGCCATGTCTGATCTTTCTTTCTTACCAATATCACGGGACTAGAGAAAGCACTTTTACTTGGTCGAATCATACCATGAGAAAGGAGTTCCCGAACTTGCTTTTCAATCTTTGTTTTTTGAATTTGAGGATAACGATACAGGCAAACGCAAATTGGTTCATGTGAAGCAATCAATGAAATAGCGTGATCATGAGGATGAGAAGGTGGCTGCCCCGATGGGTCACAAAAAACATCCGAAAATCGGTCAAACATAAACTGTAATTCTTGGTCTTGGTGTGAGGTGAGAACCAACTCTTTATTTGTTTCAGCGAGCAACAGGGAAGAACAAGAGAGAAGAGAGTTACCAGTTATGGATAACCAACTGTGAAGAGATGCTTGAGAGTTTTGAGATTTGTCCAACCCGCGAAGATGAACAGAAACTCCATGAAAATATAAACCGCATAGAAGATTTGTCCTAATTGTGAACGACATCACCAAGTGTTTTGAGCCACTCCATGCCTAATACCATATCCAAATGTCCCATATCAAATACCAAAGCATCCAGAACAAATTCGCAGCCACCAGCTAACACCCTTAAATTAACACAATGTTGATTAATAAAGACTTTATGACCATCTCCAAGCTAAATATTAATGCCACTGAAAAAGTCAAAGATATGCCCAAAGAGGAAACCATTTTTCGTGAAATAAAATTTTGGGTAACCCCGCTATCTACCAAAATTACCACCGGAATATCCAATATAGCCCCTTCAAACTTCAACGTCTTACCCCCCAAAGACGAATCTGATGTGGCTCCAAGGAACTCCAAAGCCGTACACAGACCTGTAGGAGTGGTTTCTTTATCAAGAACAACCTGCTCAGCGGTTGTATCCATATAACAATTTTCGCCCATATCTTCCCCAGATTCGTCATCTCCTAACAACAACGGAAACATAACCCTTTTTTCCGACGTTCCTCCCATTCAATGCGTGTGAGAGTACGGATTCCACGATCGTGATTAATAAGTGGCGCAAATTCCCCGTGTGAAAGGCAAGGAGCGGTTGGAATCTCCCCGAAACAAGGGAGGCTTATCACTGGGTTTAGGTATTATGGGTCCTTTCTGATCCATTTGGCCCAACAAAAGAGGCCGCCTATCATTCT